GTCGTTTCTTTTTGTTTGTATTTGATTACTTTTATAAAATAATAATAACAAAAAGAAAAAGATCTATATGACAAAAAAAAGACAAAAACCAAGGCACTCTTTGTTTTCGTTGATGAACTAAAAAGGAGAGATATTCTATTTGCATATATGAATTTCAACAAGCTTTTGACATGTTTGACATTGTACGGAGCAACACCATATAAATTTACAATTGCATTTCTCTTGAACAACTTTTCTTATCGTATTATAACCTCGTCCACAACACATTGTTCCACATCCGTCAGGACCATGACTTGTTCGATTGCATTGACGACCTTTTGTACCAAATGATCCGATCCGTCGATTATATTCACAAAAATTTGAATCTTCAAAATAGATTAAATCATCTTTTGTAGGTCCAGTAAAGCGACGATCACGTGAACGTAATTGTCCTAATCGACGTTGATATCGAACTTCAATAGCACTATCATATTTTTCTTTTAAAAATGCACCAATTTCACGAAATGTTGGTAACTGTTGATAACATGTTCGAAGACTAAAATATTATTATAATCAAATTTAAAAGAAAAATTCTTTAATTTTAAATATATATATATCTACCTGCATGAACCACTAACACCATGACATTTGCAAACAACACGTGTCAATCGATAAACAGCCTTAAAATGAAGAAAATAAATAAATAATCAATTAATAATTATCTATTATCTTGTCTATTTACTCGTCGTCCAGCTTCATTATTATGTATATTCATTTGACGTCGTATTCTACTACGTCGTAGAGGCTTTCGTTTCATTTCATTTTCAACATTTGTTTGATTTGTATTAATAAATGAAACAGGAGAATCGATTATATTCGGATTAACTTCTTTTTCAGGTGTATCAACAAAATCTCGACCAAATCGATAACCATAATCAATATTATCACCGCATCTGTGTTCAAAATGAAAAAAAAATTTGAATTATCTGTTTTTTTGTTTGTCGAAAAAGTTCTAATCAATTACCCTCCCCATGCCCAATCTCGTGGTAAATTTTTCGGTCTTGCCGCTCGACTACATGTACATGATTTTAATAAGCCTTGTTTACAAGCTCGACTCACAGCATATGTGACACCCGCAGAGAGCATGGCATGAGTAAAAGCTGTTTCTCGATTAGCTAAAGATAACAAAAAATCATAATAATAATCAAAGTCAAATTTAATGTAACAAAAGAAATATTAACAAACAAGATGATTACCATGATAAAGAACCGGTCCGAAAACAGTTCCATCGCGTACTGTGGAACAATTCCAATGTCGATCTTGAAATTGATTTTGACATTCTTCAATACCTTTACTTGCACCTATAGAAGAACAAAACGCAGATTATTTCGTATACTTGTCTTGAATAAATAATAAAAAAATAAAAGATTTTACCTTGAATAACAACAGGCATATGATCAGCATGTAATAAACATATTTGTTTTTGACCAATAGTTAGACTTTTTAATGACGATTGACAATATGATGATGGATCATCTTCTACCGCATATTGATGATCAGAATTAGCAAATGAATATGAAGATAAAATATTATCATTGCGACGTTCAAGACCAATATTCCTAAAAAAATTTAAATATTTATCTTAATATTTAATCAATTGTATCTCTATACTTACCACCAAAGATCACTTTTGGTTGTCCCATCGATCAATTGACATGAATAAAACAAAGAATACAAAAGAATTATCATCACCATCATCTTTTATCGTTCGAAAATTATAATGACATAGTATTCTACAAATAAAAACAATAGAAGATAACAATATAATATTAATGAGGTATTTTCTGTATTCTGATATTTGTCGATCATCTAAAGACAGGTGCCGATCGTCAACTGAATGTATAGCGGCAAAATATCACAAACAACTTTTGTATTTGGACAAGGTCAGCGCTCGACACTAATCGTGCCGATATACAAGTGATCGAACACTTTTGATTTCTCTTCTTCTTCTTCTTCTTCTTCTTCTTCTACTGAAGCATACCGTGTTAGAATGGATTATGTAAGTTTATATGTATATTGTTTTCATCGATATGATGATAGATTTATTCTTTTTATGTATCATATAGTTACACATGGTCAATCAACGGTAGACAAACAAATGCCAATCTTTAAATTTTTTTGTCGCCAAATTTGTTCTCATGATGTATACATATATCATAAGAAACAAAAACTGTTAATGGGATGTCGACAATTGTGCTCATTGTCAAAAAATAACACTCTCGTCGAAGAGAATAAGGTGTTACACTCATCAACTTATTCAAAATTTATAGATTTATAACTCATATTGGTATACGTGCTTTTTTTCTTCTCTCTCTCTCTCTCTCTTTTTGTCTTCTCCCATAGAAAAGGAAAACAAACATTCATTGATTGTGTACTCAAATTTTAAAGCAATTTTTTATATTAAATATTGAAAATGCTCGTTTGATCATTATGACATGCTTTTATTTCAAGGAAAAAATAATAAATATCAACAGAAGTTCATATGCTCATTTGCATATCAATCGACGGGAGAAAAAAATTCAAATTTCGCCAATCATGTCGATTTAATGAATTAAAAATGACTTTCAAATCATCTTCATGATTATCATCTATTCAGTTCATTGCACTCACCCACATGTGCATATACATATACTCTACAAAATGTACCGAAGAGATTATTCTCGCTTCTCAATTTGATATAATACCGCCAATTGTTGACTTGTTCATTCACAGTTTTGATTTAGATCAGAGAAAAAAGAAACACGTTTTATACAGTTCACAGTTTTTTTTTCTTGTTTTTCTATTTTATCAAAAAACAAAATTCTATGATGACGATATTCTCCCATCGGCATAAATATCTCACTAGTCCTAAAACATGAAATTTTATGTTAAAACGTATAGAATTTCTATATCCAATGACAATGGTATGTTAATCAAAAGTAAACATAAATGCTTAGAAAAAAATCTCTGCTTTCGTGTTAATTTTAACATGAGCTTATAGAGATGTGCCTTTCAATTGTGTATATATTTAAGGATAATATTTTGCATCACCTGACAATACGAAAGTGTAGAAACAGAAAAGAAAAACTCATATTGCATCATTAATCTGACTTAACTACTTTTACAAAGCGTAAACGTCAAGACATTGCTTGATTGACTGCATTGAACGATAGATGAAATGAGCAATTAAATGAATAGAAAAAAAGTGAACTTACCGAATGAATTATATTTTTGTTCGAAGAATAATGATTAGAAGAGATGTATGCACAAAAAAATCGATTATTTAGTATAAACACAAGTATTAAAATAACAGTCAGATCACCTCTGCGAATTGTAATGGCAAAGATGTTTGTTCAACTCTCTCTTTCTCTCTCTATATATATACTATGTGTGTAGATATATATATATAGCTATATATGCATATGTATGTATTGATTTCCTTTCCCTTTCTCACTCTCTTCTCTTTCCTCTATCGCTCTTTTTTGTCCTAATCTATTTTGTACACATGTGAGACGTAATACATATTCGTGCAAGAGCAAAAAACCAATATCAATATCAATATCAATAATAATAATAATAATAATAATAATAATAAGACAAAGAGTCTCTTTTGAGACGTGTATATTGACATGTTCCTTTACTTCCGGCTTTGCTCATTTACTTTTCATAATAGGATAAAAATGAATCACAATGATGACAATTGACGAAACCATAATGTTCTTAATACTAGTTAGACCTTGATAAAATATGACAATCAATCGATGATATATGTTATTTAGATTTGTATTATTCCTAATACTCTTATTATTTCATCTCTCATTATTGATCAAGCACAGCTAGTTCCTTTTTTTAAAGTCTACCCGTTTTTGAAGACAACATATTGCTCTGCTGTTATTTTTTCTTCCTTCTATTAGCTATCTGAACTTGGATCATCTATCTCCTCTTTTTCATCACTGTGTCTATCGATCTCAACTGTTGCAACTCTTAATTGATGTGCATGGTCGACAATAATTATCTTTGCTTCCTTTCTTTTGTTTATTATTCTTTTCTGGTGATATTAGGAGAATATTAGTGAGTCTTATATTACTGAAAAAAAAAAGAATGAAAGCAATATGCTTGATACAGAGATACTTCAACGAAGTTAGTCGTTCATTAGCATAATGCGATTGATTCTATAAAGGTCAATTATGATCTATCTCCTCCTTCTTATTCTTTTTTCTTTACTTCTAATCAATAATTATGATGATGATGATGACAATTAGGAAATGAACTTCCATGAAAAACTTGATCAATATTTTTCTTTGAAAGAGGATAATATCTAAGTTTCTATCTCTTTTCTCTTTCAGGTAAAAAAATAGTCATTATGGAAAGGTTGCAGACGCCGTATTTTGAATGTCAACGATGACTGAACGTCTTGTTTTCGTGATGATAATCGATGATGAAGCGTACAGATCGAGACTAGCGATCGATCAAGCAATGATGGTTACTTTCTAATTCCTTTTGTTGTGTTCTATTCTTTAGTATAGCTACTATATATAGATATAGTACGTATGTATCAAGCCATTTGGTTCATGCAAACAAGCAGTATAACTATGTATATCTATCGATATATTGATAATAAAAGTCTGCTGATATTTAGCTATCATTGTGTCTGCTTTTACTCCATTGATAATTATAATGACGAAACATTAAAAAAAGAAGCCAAGAGAAATCTAATTAATGATTGCACAAAAGAAAATATACTCAAAACAAAATGGAACGTAGATGCAACAAATAATATGATTAAATGGTGAGTGACTAGCAATTAATAAAGAAAAAGGCACATCTGCAGAAGAAATTCAGTGAACAATTAATGACTCTTAAAATATACAAATATACATTTAAAAAAACAACTGATTTCTTCGTTTTGTACAACAGAGAAATATTCGGAAACACAAGGAGAAAACAAAACGTGTAACATTGGATCGTGATTTCGACTATATTCAAGTAAAACTGAATTCATCATCGGACGGCGTTAGTGGACGTCGTTCAACAATAGCACGAGTAGTTAACATTGATGTGGACTCATTGAACCATTGATGTTCATTTTGTTGATTATCATGTTGAATAACTGATGAGCGATAATTATCGAACCTAAGAAAATGATGTAATTATCACGTAAACAAAGGATCATATATTGTTTTCACTTTATTAAAATTTTATCAACTTGTTAGAGTCATCATTCTAATTTATCAATAGTGAAAAGATCACAAAATAGTCTTGATTTAACATCAAAATGTAAGATGCATTCGAAAATACTTATTTTATACTCTTGATATTCAGAGATTTTAGAAAATTTTCTTTTCTGTAGCTTTTTTTTTTTAGACAAAACAATTCTCTTTTTTTTCTTTTTGGTAAAAATATATCATCTGACTCGAAAGGAATCTTTTTATTATAGCAAAACAAGATTGTTATCGACTGATATGTTTTTGCAAATTTCGATGCGAACAATATTGAGCAAAAAAGAAGTTTAGTACTGGCGTTTGTTTTTAAATTATATAAATATTTACCTTTCATTTGGTTCACACGGTCGAATATCAGCATCTCGATTCGATCGTTTTCGTTGTAGTTTAGCATGAGATGTATCTGTCAGAGAAACACCTGCAGCTGCAGCTGCAGCTACTGATACAATATCATTGGACATCAACGGTAGAATAGCATCTTTATTTTTCTTATTACTAAGTTTTCGTTTCAGTTCTGTTTGTTGTTGATGAAATGATGTTTCAATACATTTTAAATCAAAATCTTCATATTCTTTGAGCTCATCAGGTTTTTGTAAATTTTCTTTTAATTCTTTATGTTTATGAGTAAAATCCATAATTTTCGAATTTTCATATGAATGATTTTTTTCAATTGGTGGTTGTAAATTCATCATCAATGAACTAAGTCTATCAGCATCATGTTCAACTAGAAATTCAAATCAATCAATATTCTTTTCTTCTTATTTTCTATCATTAATACTTACTGAATAAATCTAGGCTTGGCATTATTGCTACTACTGCTGCCACATCCATTGATTGAGTTTCATCTAGTTCAGTTTGAATAGGTACTACAGAGAAGACAAAAATAAAAGAAATTAAAAATACATTAGAAAAAAAAGATGTATCGTCGACGACAAACCTGTTGCCTCCTTTGTAGATTCTTGTTCATATTTTGATTTTATTGATAATTCAATAGCTTGTTGTAAATCATTAAAATATTCGATTTTGTCATTTGTACTTAAATTTGAAGCATTATTATTGGCATTTGTATTGTTTCGATTGAGATTTTGGTCATGTTCTCGTACCGCTTGTAGACGACTCATTTCAATAGCTCGAAGTAAATCCATAACACCATCCGATGGTACAACGACAATAACTGGCGGTACATTATCATTGTTATTTTGTTGTTCATGTACTGAAGCATTTGTTGATAGACTAGCTGTTGCAGAAATATTAGTGATAGCTGGTGAGCCATTTAATGTAACTAAACTTTGTTCCATTTCTCTTTCTTCTAGAACAACGAAAATATTTCAGTAGAAAATATTGATTACAAGCAGTGCCTTTAATATATACTACATACCGCCTTCTAATTGTTCAGTACGATCTAAACGTAAGCATTTCAATGAGCAATAATCAAAAGGTACTGTTGTTATTGGATTTCGTGCACGATGATTAAAACAATTACGGCGTTTACAATACGCACCTATACACAAAAGAATATCAAATAAAAAAACATTGAAAAAAAGCAGATGAATATTTTTTCTATTCTACCATCGCCGCAGGAAATAAGACCTGAATCCATTTCCATTTCTAATTCTGGCCATTCGTTAAGTAGAGTAACTAGATTAGTATGCCGTCCTTTACGATCTACAACCCATGGATTCTAAAAATGAACAAAATAAAAAAACAAAGAAAATATTCTATCAACATGAAATTTAACAATCGTTTACTTTTGGATCCAGATCTTTTAAAGAAGCTGCGATGGCTTTCTTTAATTCATTGTCATCTCCATCAACATCATCTTTAAGTAAATATTTCCAACGTTGTCTTGAAAACTTTTTCAAACTCGGTGGTGTATCGGGCGGTATAAGACCACGAGCAATTGTTTCAAGAAATTCTAAACGTTTACGTTTAACAGTTTTTGTTACTTGTACAATACGATGTTTAGGTGTACGTAAATAAGGTCGCGCAATAATTTGCGATAATGTTTCAGTGCATTCTTCAAATTCAGTTTGAATAAATTCAAAAATCATTTTTTTATGACCAGAATTTTCTAAATAATAGCCATAAACATATGAACAGCGTAGAACACGTCTGGCACGTAATAATTCTTTGATTGCATCTTCAATAAATTTTGTTTGTGATTCCAAATTATTTTCATCATTCAGTACTCCTATTGTGACAGTAGCGGGAACCGGCCCAGGTTGATTTGTTTTAGCTAATATAACTTCACATTTTTCTTTAGCAGTTTTTGATAATGGTTCTTCAAATTTATAAGAATTTTCATGATTTTTAAAACGTGTATAATAATGAACAAACTTAGAGTAAATACAAACGACAGATTAATATTTTGAAAGAAAATATTCTAATGAGATTTTACTTTATTTAATTCTACCATACGTAAATGACGTTGTTCAGCAACAGTAACCAATTCTTTTTCTTTAGCAACAATTTTGTTTACAGTTTCATAACGATTACATTGAAAATAACCACCTGTTGTACTTGAATGTTTTTTCCATGCTTCCAAACATATCCAACAAAAATCATATTTACATTTAACACATTTTATATGATTACATCCTGAAACAAGTAAATTACATGGTGTTATTGTCAATCAGTCATTTTTACAATATTGATCTGTTTCATTCATGACATTGCATAGAATTAACTAACACGAATTAATAAAGTTAGATCAATTCCATGTGTTGACTAACAATAAAGATTTTCCAGCAGTACTCAAGCATACAAAACAGAAAATTTTAAGCATTTCTGTTCCGCATTGTTTCGAATTTTTTTTTAAATGTTGCAATTTACTTTTTTCAAGATTTGATCATATGTATTTCTTCTTCTCAAATTATTTCGATTTGTTTTTTGTTGGAATCAAGTTACACACCATTTCTAATGATATGACTATAGATTTTATTTTGTATCAACTCTTAATCGGCCTTTCGGCTGATACTCATATCCTATTCCACGTAGCAATTTTTTGAAAAACCATATTTGTCATTAATCTAGTAGAAAAGGTGTGGTAACTAGCCCAACAATTTTTGTCAAAGTTGCCAAAAACTAAACTGTCGAAATATTGTAAAGCATTGCTTTAGACTTGATTTCATGAGAAGAAATCGAAATAATTTCGAAGTAGACAAATTCTATTAGTGCAAAACTGCAAAAGGATAGCACATGAATATGACATTTGTATTAATCTTTATAATTTCTATATTACAAATAAAATAGATAGTTTGTCATCGAACCGTAATCTTTTTTTTGTGCTACACAACACGAATAGGTTTCACTGGATTATATCCTATCGTTGAAAATAATAAAACTTGTTTTCGAGAGCCGTGGTCTCGTTCCTTGTAGAAATGAAAGATAAGAAGAAAAATTAACCTTCATTTTTTTGTATAGATATTGAACAATTGGGACATTTTTTTGAATTGGTTACAAGCCATAAACAATTTGCAGCTATTTCTTCTTCTTCAACTGTTCCTTTTACTAGATCAATAAAAATCATAATAAAAAAGTTATTTTCTTATCTCATTCAAAAACTTTTCATTTACATTCTTCTGGTTTAATTTCTGCAACTTTATCAAACCAATCTTTCCAATTTTCGCATGATGCTGGTTCATGTCCTTCTAGAAGGCAATCCCAACTGAAACGAAAATAAAATCATGTATTGAATTCTTTGATGTTTAGTATTTTTCTAATTTCTCACCAAAAATAATGTCCATTTCGGCAATTAACTGATTTCGAAAATTCTCTCATATGAGATGATTGAAGACGATCAAATATTGGCGATTGAACAGCCAGTGCACAATTACTATGTGGACACCATTTAAAATTGGGATTTGAATCTACAAAGGCCTTTATGTCAAATTGTAAATAACGTCTTGCCATATTTTGATCGACACATTTTTCAATGATTTCGTTTGGTACAAATTTAAAACAATCAACAGCTGGACAAAATATTGTATGAACAGAACCTTCTTGGATTTTAAATGTTAAATACCTAGAAAATATATTCATTTTTGAAAATATTCATTTTGTTTTATACACAGAAAAGAAGGAACTAACTGTTGCCAACATTCTTTACAAAATTGATGATCACACGATATTACAATTCGTTCTACACCACTTTCGAATTCTTTTAAACAAATTCCACACTGGAAAGAAAACATATTCTTAAATAGGTTACATTTTCAATATCAAAAGTAAATTACTTCTTTAGATAAATGAACAGTATCAAATTCATTGATATCTATGATTGTCAAACCACGTTCATGAAGAATGCTTAATGGAGGATTAACACCAGATATTTCACAGCAACCTATGGGATCCTCAATCCACGATTGAAGAAGTAATTCCTTTGACCATTCTAAATAAATAAATAAATAAATAACTTTATTTTTGTAAAAATTTAAAGAAAATGAATAATATAAAATACCATGATGTCTGAGAAGAGCTTCAGCTGTAAATAAAGGTAATTGTAACATATCAGCTGTTTCAACTAGAAGTAAATCTTTGGTTTCTTGTAAGTCTTGAATACGTAAACCACATGAGGTCTAAATAAATTTAAAAACAAAAATAATCGCACAATTCTTTTTGGAGTATTTTTTTAAAATTCTAATTAACTTTGTTGACTATTTAAAAATCTTCAAGTATACTTCTAATTCTGCGTAGTCACAAAATTAGAATTGAATTAAATTACTCAATCGAATAAAGAAAAATAATTACTGTTATGTTGAACAATGGTTTGACATTCTCTATTCATTCGGTAAAATTGTCATGAACCTCTATTATCTATCATATTAATCTTTCTTTTTATTAATAGAATAAAAATATGAAAAAAAAACATCACACGGAAATTGACTAATTATATCAAGACCTGGTGTTCTTCCATCATTTATCAATATAGTGAGACTCGTGTAATATCGCATACACTACTAAAGCAAGTTATTTTTAAATTTAAATATATTTTTAATGGATTAAACAGGAAATTTAGATCATTTTATTTGGAAATATATTCAATCTCAAAACTAATCGACCTTTAACAAAAACTGGTGATTTTTTTAGTGTTAATGCAAATATTTGAACACACACATTCTATCTACTTACATCCTCTGTCATTAATGGCAATTCGTCGATTTCCAAATCTTCTGAGCTATTCTATACAAAGAAAACAAATATACGCATTTATCATAAATTAAAACTTCAAACTTACACTAAATATCATTCTTGATTCAAGATAAATAGCTAAATCTTTATGACCATTTTTTTCAGCTAAAAGTGAAATATACTATGGAAATATTTAATTTTGCTTATTAAAATCTCACCAAGTTCACATGGAGTTAATTTTTCATGATTTTCAACATAAAGTGCAGCACCAGCATTTAAAAGATTCTGTAAAATTTTAAGAAAAAAAGTTAAAATAAAATATTCTCTTTTATTTGCAATTAATTTAATTACTTCAACACATGATTTAAGTCCATTTTTTGCTGCATGATGTAATGCCGTATTATCATCCTAAGTAAAACAAAAACGAACAAAAGTTAAATCAATATAGTCTAGTATAGAAAAATTCATATTTACTGAATCTTTAGCATCAATATCGATAGTTTCATTTGTTTGTTTATCTTTCCATTTTAATAAGAGTGTAAGACATTCGTTACGACGAACGTCATTACCAACTTTTAATAAACAGTGTAAAGATGTTTGATTTAAATGATTACGTTTATTTGCATTGCCATTATGATCATAAAGTAAATGCCTATGAAATACAGAGTAGTTTTTTTTCAATAATTAGTTTTTTTCTTTCTTTGATATTTGAAACAGACAAATGAATGATACTCTTTACACTTAATAATTAGTAAAGTTTCGTTTGAAAATTGCAATCACTTATTTCGTATAGAACGAATCAAGAAAAAATCGTCCTTCACATGTAGTAAAACTTCTGATTTATTGACGCCGTTTTTCTTGTACTTTGATTCGATATCATTTGGCCTTGGGTCCTTTTTCATAAATATTATTTACTCGATTAAAATGAATGGCATTCGAAAGAATCATCAAATGTTTCGCTGTAATCGTATCATCAATATTATATCACCGAGTATATCTATGATTTGTTTCTTTTTAATGAGAAGCTTAGTCGTTAGATTATTTAATAGATCTACCTCTCAGTCCGGAAAAGACAAAATAATTTTTAGGCTAAAGTCATGTTGTGTAAAATGTTCGTTACTGTTTTATTTTTACTTCAATGGACCAGTGTAGTGTTAAGTCAAGGTGTATATTCTCCTCCAACATTTACAGAATCTAGTTGTGCTGATAATAATCAATGGACAGCTTGGTTCGATTCAGACGATCCAAGTTTATCACTTGGTGAATTCGAAGTAACTAATCATATTCAACAAGTATTTGTTTCATTTATGTGTCCAATACCGATTGCCATTGAAGTAATTCTATTTTGATTCTAGTTTTTCTACGTCTTATTATTTATTTGAAAAACTCTAATTTCTTTTTCAGGCTCGTACGATAAAAGAAGAAAGTCCAGTACAAACAGGTGATGTATTTCGAATTACACCTAAAGATGGATTTCTATGTATCAATCAACAAGTTAATGGTTTTAAAGAAAAACTATGCTCTGACTATAAAGTACGCTATTGTTGTCCAAAATCAACAGTTGGGCAAATATCAACAACGACAACATTTCAAACACCAATTGCTGCTGGTACAAATACATGTGGTCGTCAAGCTATAACACCCATGAATCTACGTATTGTTGGTGGTGTTGAAGCTATTCCTAATTCTTGGCCATGGATTGTCTCCTTAAGAGTACGCGATCATTTTTGTGGTGGTACTCTAATCGATAGAAAGCATGTGCTGACAGCTGCGCATTGTTTAACCGGTGCTAATTCTTATATTCTTCGAGTAGTTGCTGGCTTACATCAACGATTAAATACAAATACAGGACGTACACAAGTTATGAGTGTTTCACGTATATTTCTACATGAACAATATAATTCAAGGACGCATGCCAATGATATTGCTATTATTCGTCTTTCTCAACCAGCTCAACTAAATACATATGTCAATATAATTTGTCTACCAGGACCTGATCCACAAGAAACAGAACCAGTTACTGTAGCTGGATGGGGATCAACATATTTCGGTAGTCCATTACCAAATAGTCTTCGACAAGTTACAATGCAAGTAACAAATACAAAAGCAAAAACATCGTATCCAGCTTATTTCAATGCTCAACGACAAATCGGTGCTAATATGCCGTATACTGGTGGTAAAGATAGTTGTCAAGGTGATAGTGGTGGTCCTTTAATGTACAATAGTAATGGACAATGGCATCTATCGGGTGTAGTTAGTTTTGGTTTTGAATGTGCACGTGCAAATTATCCCGGTGTTTATACACGTACGAGTGCTTATCTTAACTGGATTTATAATAAAATAAATGCGCAATAAAAGAAAGAACTAAACGAATGAATAAAATAGAAAACGTTTTTTAAAATTAAAACAACAACAACAGATCATGAGATTTCTCAATCTATGTTGAGTACTTTTTTCCAATCACTAGTAAATATCACGTATAAGGTTGATATTAATCTTAAATGTTTTGCTTAAAAAAAGTCAATAAATATATTAACACATATTTGATAACTATCTCGAATCATTTAAATAACAAATCATGCCACCAATTTTAATTATATTTATTAGTTTTACTACTATTTCTTTTCAATCTATACATGGCATGATAATTGGCGAATGTAAAGTACCAAATCAATGGAACACATGGTTAAATGTTCATCGTCCAACAGTAAATGGTTTGTTTTGCAAAAATAATATAAATGTTAATTATTTTATTGATTATTAGTTTTTCATAGGTGAATTCGAACTAGTACTACATTATCAGAAAATCTTTGCTGGTCAACCTTTTGTATGTTTGAAACCAACAGGATTAGAAGTTAAAACAGTTGATGGCCGAGAACCAGCTGATACAGGCGATACATTTCGTTTTACACTAAATGATGGTTTTCTTTGTATTAATCAAATAATTGTTCCAAAAGGAAAAAATTGTACCGATTATAAACTAAAATTTTGTTGTCCACCAAAATAAAAGCAATCAGCTTTTATCGAATTTATTTTATTTTCATGAGAAATAAAACAAAATTATTTCTTTTATTGTTAGTTCCATGTCGTCATTATATATATATATATTGGGAACATTATATTTGATCAGTGAAATAAATGAAATGATCAGTAAAAAATAATATGAATGATCAGTAATTAATCTTAAAGTGATCAGTTTATTATATATAATTACCAGTAAAAAAGATAAAACTGATCAGTAAAACATAGAAAGTTAGGCGTGGGTGTGATACTTCTGCTCATCGAAGCTACCCCACATCCTTTTTTGGAATTCTTTGATTTCCATTTATTCCAGCATTTTCTTCCAGAACCTCTTTGTCTGATATATCAATTTCATATTGAGCAACTTGTACGACTTCCATCTTTTTTACTCGTGGGTACTAAGCTGAATGTGAAAGAAGGGAGCTAAGAGTACATTTATATATGTTATACTTATCAGCTGTACGATATATAGACCAAAAGAACAAACATGAAAAAAAGTAAATCACTTCATAACACATTTCAATTTTTATACTGATCCTTTAATCTAATTTACTGATTTTTCAATATATCAATAAATCGAAGTATATTAATATCTGACCAGACAAATAATGTACTGATCATGATAGCCATATATATTCAATATATTGTATTACGAAATAAGATTAGAACGAATATCAGAAAAACAGAATATAGAGAACTACTAAGCAACAAACAGTACATAAAGTATATAGAACTATCTAATATCAATGAGATGTTGTTGATAGTCAACATAGGCATGCATTCTGACATTATGAATGATAGCTGAAAGTAGAAATGACGTTCTTCTAAATACTGATACTAGCCATATCCACTTGGTGATGGTACAGTCCAGATTACTTTCTCAAGATACACTTCATACGATCTATCATCATGGAACAGTTTTCTGTGAATAACACACTACTGATACCTTTGCATATTAACAGTAAAAGCTCTTTTACACTTCACTATGCTATATGGCCATATATTTTTTTAATCTCTGTAATTATTTTGGTTTGGATTTTTACTTATCTGTCAACGATATATTCACGACAACGTCAAACGAATAATGAACAACATCGCGGTTCTCTGTTGCAAACCATGCAAGATAGTCCACTCACAAGTGGCATTCGTGGTGGATACAGAATTTCAACAAAGATCGCGTTACAGAATGTATAAATTTTTCAATTATCTTACAGTAATTCTTTTTCTTAAGTACGAGCAAATAGAAATAACATATGACAAAATATGACACACATGTTAATAAGAATTCTGTCAAAATAAAAGCGACTAAATGCCTATCCATCAAAATATTTTCTTTTTCTGTAATCATTTCTATATAGTTTTTCTTTTTATATAATGAGAAAAATAAAGAAACAAAGGGCATTCTTAAATTAGCGGATATTATCTCTCTATAAAACATACAGCGCACCCCAGGTCGAGCATTACGGCTACCAGAAACGGTCGTAAACGTTAACGTATACTGCCGTTTCTCACCGTATATGGCCGTAACTTGAAGTTTTGGTATGCACCGTATTACGGTCGTAATTAATCGTGTCGTAAACGGTTACTAACGACCGTAATGTGGTCGGATATTTCCGTATCCGACCGTATCCGATCGTTTATGGCACGATACAAAACGACCGTAATACGGTGCATACCAAACGGCCGTGTACGACACAAGTTGATCGACCTGGGTCAATATGAATGTGTGAGTATTTTGTTCAGAAACCCACCCACACCCTAAAGTGCATGTATATCCAATCATGAAAATAAATGGAACATAAATTTTTTTTATGTTTTAGGAAAATCTTCCTGCTTCATTACTTTTCAAAACGCAATAATATTTTTATTTAGCTGATTAGATATACGTGCAAAAACAACACGTTATCATCTTCAATGCTGTTGCAGTGATTTTTCGGTGTCTAAATCTTTTTCTGGAATAAATTTTTTCATCCCATATTTTTCCTATATAGTTCAGGGCGATCCTATATATTTTAGACCTATCCTATATAGGAATTCCTATATTTTTGAGAGAGCCGCTGCGATGCCAGCTGATATCGTCACAATGACTAATGAAGATATGTGAGGATGCCACTCGATAGTTGTTGTATGGTATAAACAATTTATCAAAACAAAGAGTTGATTCGGTCTTATTTTAAGAAAAAAATTCTTTGTATTTATGTTAAGAATCTAGCAGCAAAAGTAATTTATGTTTTTTTTTTATCGAAAACGGTCTGAAATTTGATAGTGATATGATATGTGGGCGAGATATATATTTCCCATTAGCAATCATCATTATCGGTGAAAAGTTTCACCGGTTGAATCTAGTTATTAGGGGTATAATACTTCTCAGATCCAAGTTCGGATTAAATGAACGACAGAACTGTTCGAACAGTACTTTTGGTCGGAACTAAAACGGAACTGTCATACCCCTATTAACTTGCAAAAATGCATATGAAGCTAGACAGTCAATTTGTATTTTGGTTAAAGATCAGTACAAAATAACCGATATTTCTAGAAGAGAAAAACAAAAACTTGACTTGCATTTCTAATGAGACTCGACAATAGAAATAGAAACAATATTTTTACGGTGCAATCGATTTATATATATGATGAAATCTATCGTTCGTTGTGTTTGGGCATCGATCAATACGTTTTCTTCCGTTTTTAAGTTCATATTTATGTTGACTTGCAGCATTTAACAACATTAGTTAATTACATTGAACATGACAAATAGTTGTTTAGAGAATATAAATATATGCCGATAGTCTAAGAGTAGAGAGAGTGGTGGCGTTTCTACGTATTATCGATTAATTAAAATAAAATGTTCACATACAGTAATAATAATCTATTTCTAAATAGTCGTTGTGGTTCGACTTACGAAGATTCAATCGATAGAGGAAAAAAACGGAACGTGTTATGTTAAACAAGATTTTCATAAAAGCGAACGTTTATATTTGATTACGTTAAAAGATGCAGGACGTATATTCGTCTTTTTTCATCCTTAGAGAAACATATAAATTCATAAATTAATTTTCTAAGGCATTTTACGCTGATCAAATGAGAACATATTATTATTATTGGTAAAAAATGACCTTCGAATGTCATCGTAGGATTATGATTTACCTATAAAATGTTTATATCTATTTAGTTTATTTGTGGGGTGATACAACGAACGACATATATTTCTTTTTTTGGGAACTCAAACTATAGAAATTCTCAAGTTTTCAAATTGCCCTGGTTCATATCAATAGAAAAAGTAAAATGTTCTCTTCTCAAAGGAATAGCTTGATAGCAAAGAAAAACTTTTCTCATTAGTTTCTGATCGATTGAAAAAATTGATCGAGATGACTGAATTTTCTTCATGAAAAAGAAATAGTCTTCCCTAGAAAACTATTACCGTGTTTTATCTATCAACAGATATAGACAAATAGTCAAGCCCAGAAAATAAATATCTGGCATTTGTATTATTGACTACGGCAATTATATGGAAGAAAAAATTTTGCTTCTGTATACATCATGGTTTTTTGATTCAACACTCAACGAGATTAACATTATCGGGAATCATTGGGCCGTTTTACTTTTGATTTCCTAGTAGCATAAGCGAATGATTTATATTTCAATGGATGAACTTCTTGAATCAACGTGTAAAAAAGTTATGAAAAAAAAACTGCTATAAAACTTCTTAGAGAAATGAAATCGATATTTGACAAGCAGTAAAAATATTAAAATCAAACATAAGACTTCAAGTGTCACAATATGATCTTCAAAATGTATCGTGTTTCAAATCAGGTGATTGATTAAAATGAAGACATTTTTTTGTTTCGTTCGAAATCGATTATTACCATTTTTTGATGGATTTCCAACGTCAACCCAGACTTGTTAACCTATCAAACTAATCTACTAGACATAATTGGCAAACTCTACCCTCGAGGGTTGAGACAGCAAACGCCTAGAAAATAGTATCCAATTGAGTTGTCACAAATAGCTCGGATGTCATTAAACTCGACAATTGCAATATAGGTTTGTATATATTTCAGAGAAAAAAGAGACATTCACATAAATAATTTTAAAATACCAAATCTCATTTACTGAATTAATGATTACAAACAGTCAGTACTTAATATTTACAATACAGCAAACAAGAAGAAAACATTAAGACCATGTCTCCCATTCATCATCAATTTCATGATCGGAGTTTTTCGATGTTATTGTTTCTGGCAACAATTTAGTTTCACATGGAATATTTTCTTCTCTTATATGCAATTCAATTGTATTAATTATGGATGTAGAAAGATGTATTTCGTTCAGTTCTTCGTCTCCTAAAATAACACAAATAATGCATGTGTTTTTTCTCTGTAGGATTTTAGTACTTGTTTCTGCTTCTATTGCCAAGGCTTCCGAGGTCCATTCATCATCTATGTAAAGAAAAGAAATCTTGCTAGAGGATCATTATCTAAATTTGCTTATTACTAGGTTCATCCCAATCATTTTCATTGTGTTCATTGCATGTTTCCTGTGCACGTTTTAAAAAATTTAATCGTCTTGTTTCTTCTTCATCAAGTTTACTAATACGATAATAATATCGAGACCAAAAATCATTATGAGTTGTGCATGCAGGTACAAAACGTGAATACAATGAGCGAATCTGTGGAATATCAATTAGTAATTGTGCTATTTGACCTTTACGTTCATCGGCGCTAAAGTCATTTGCTTCACGCCATGCTTTATAAGATTCAATGGGTGTAGGATCCGTTAAGTAAGTCGCATCATCATGTTCTATGCGATTTCGTTCATTCTAAACGAAAGCATAGTTTTTTAATTTAGGTATATTGATTGAAAAGTTATAATTATAGTTTTTATTAATGTCTTCGTTTAGTATGATTAGATATCTATAATTTAAAAATGATTTGCAGGTGGATTGATTTATTAATTATTTAATAGCAATTAATAAATATGCCAGAGGAGTGTTACTTTATATAAATATTTGAGAATGTATGCTGTATTCCAAGGGTCTTTTACTTCAATCTTGCTCTATAATTACGCCGCAAGTAGAATATGCAGATGTCTATATACTGACGTTTGTCAGTTAACACTTGCTGTTCGAGCTTATGCTTTTATTAGTGGACGAAATTTTCTTGTCTACGATTATTACTTCAGTTTCAAGGTCAGTGGGAAGAATATTTTAAACTTTTAAAATCTCCTGCTTCTCTCTTTTGAAATTCATCAAGAAAATTTCCCTCATATGACAGACGATTTACGATAGTTTGAGATGGAGCGTTTTCTTTTACAGATGCTGAGGAAATGGAAAAGTTAATTTTTAGATTCACGTGACACAACATAGGAATCATCGATAATGCGTACGCAGAATATACTGAAGGTTCTTTAAATCTTTCTAAATCGATTGTTAGTATTTTTAAGTTAAGCAAATTATTCTATATAGTTACCAAATGTTATTAAAGTTCAACAGAGATAAATATGAGAAACTAATAAAATATCACAACTTAATCTTGATTCTTCGTAATAAACTCGAAACTATGAAATTTATCTAAAAAAATTGTTTTTTATTTCAAAAATGATTAAAAAATGTCTTACTTGAAATCGATCAACTGGTGCCGATGGAATCATAGTTGTTCCACGTTCATTTTTACTTTGCGATGTAATAGAAGTACTTGATGGCTGAAGTTTGATTTTATTTAAATAAGTTTCCGTATCACTTTTAACTGTTGTTGTAAAATCTGATAGGTCCTTTCGTACAAAGTCGAAAACATCAAACGACTAAACAAAAAAACACAATCGAAAAAATGAATATTGAATTATTTTTTTGTTTTTTCACTTTTTCACGAACTGTTTGAAGAGTAGTTGTCAACCAATTATTCATATCTAAAACATATATCTATGTATATATATTAACAACAGAGATTCAATTTTTGTCGATAAAATAATAAAATAATTCACTGCTACATCAACGAATTAACAAATAATACATTGAGGCACATACGACAACAACATTAAAAAACTATACGTATTATATATATATATATATATATATATATATAAGCACATCTATTGCACTTGACTGACAAAATAATTTTCGATATGATAAATATTAATATTTAATAATCCAATTTTTAATCGTTGCATTTCGCACCATTTTCGAAACAAGCGACTATATTGGATACACTTAGTGTTGTACCAGCAACAAATACATAAAGACCAAAAGTGATTATCAGAAGATTTAATATTAATTGCCATTTATAACGACCGAGACTATCAGGCCAAAATGTTATTGATTCACATATTGGAGGAAATATAACTGATAATGCTGTGGATGCTACCGCACCGACTAAATTAATAGAATACAATTAGATTGACATTTTTTAAAGATATATAAATAATGCACCTAGAGAGATGACTAGACCAAGATTTGGAATCATTGCAGCAATGATAACTAAAAATGAAAGTTCAAGTTTAAGTAAGACATAATGCGTTCTGTATTTTACGTATGAAAAACAGTAATCTCTTGTTGAACGAATTAAAATCTAAACTTTACCATAATGGAAATCAGTTTACAAAGAAAAAACACCTACCAACATTAGGAGAATTAATCGTCAATGAGAACCTAATTATATGTAAATTCATAATATCTACTTCGTACGTCTATCAGCTGCTTTAATTATACAAATGGAAGATACTTTAAACTCGATTGGATGTACTCTGCCTAACAGAAACGCATTTTGAGATTCTTTTCATGATTGAATCGTATGTGAAAATTTCTACTTACAAGTTATGAGAATAAGTCCAATGCGAAAGGCATGCTCGCATTTTTCAACTGTCTGTGCACTATATTTGTAGAGAATTCTACGACAAAGACGTGGCCAAAGAAGTGAAAATGGAACATAAAATTGTAAATTATACGTCAAAAATATGGCCACAGCGTACATAATTTTCGTGAATTGATATAATCTGTAATAAATAAATTTATATAAAAGAATTCATAAAAATCGATCTATTCATTAAATAGAAAACATTACTTATTATCCTTTGGTAAATTAAGAGTTATTGAACCACGTGCTTCTGATCCATATCGAATATAGCCAAAGAAGCCGATAATGAAATACATAATAGTCACAAGTAGAATACCAATATTAAGTATTCCAGTCCAACCACTATATGCTTCAGGTTCTTTCATCTTTTGTCGAACGGGTAAAACCTAATTGAATAGAAAATAGATTTTTCTCTTGCAGTTAATTATTTCCTATTCAATACATACTAAAGCAATGCCTTCAAAGACATACATAGCCGATGCAAAAAATACAGGCCACTCGGATGCGGATGTTATGAGAGGCAATGTATTGAGTGGCTTATGATCTCGAACAATATATTGTATGATTATAAATAACCCTATAGATATATGTATAAATTAAATTGATTAATTCGATGGTTATAGTTGCTCTTCTTACCGCCAATCGTCATTAAATTAGCAGCCAGCGAAAATGGTGCTAGAACTTTGAGACTACGAATCATGGAAAAGCCGATAACAAGTAACAACATGACGAATTGATAGACTTGAATCGGTGGACTTTGCGTAAGATATTGATCGGCAACCTAGTGTCAATTTTAAGAAAATATTATTTAGTTTTAAGCCTTGCTAAATAGCAAAGTCGAAACTTTCGAGAGAAAATGTTCTGCATTTTTTCAATTGGTTACGAGCAAAGCAATTAAAGCATTAAACTTTAATATCACCTTTTGTGCTGTTAACGAATTTATAATCAGATTGTTCCCTTATTTCTATCATGAAACCGCCTATTACTTCGCTTAATTCATCTATTTCTACTTGACTAGATAAGTCATTGCATTGTATACATTGTTTCAAGAAGTCTTGCCACATATATAATAAAATTGAGGCCGAAATTTTCATTCCTAATAGTCTTCTTCAGTAAAATTCATCCTCAAGATATTTTTCCTTAGGGCAGCGTTTATTATTTTTATTATGTTACCATAAGCCTGTTATGCAGACCCATCCCTTCAGACTTGTCAAGATCGTTTTCATTCCTAAGTACTATGAAATTATTCTGAATCATTAACTACGTAAATCCAGTTCCTACCGAAATTGCAATGGCAATATTTTTATCATTCAAACTTGTTAGTAAAATCTCTATGGGATTGAAAAACAAACAGATCTTACAAGCGAGATATTGTCAAAGATTATCATCTAGAATAATGAGTCTTTTTTTCCCTGTATGTAATACTGGAAACTTTCAAGCCATGCTATAGAGGAAACTGAGTCGACATTAATCTCATAAAATACTATTAGTGTGAAAAGAAGTAAATATTATTAATCACAGAGTGCTGTTGAAGAATTCCTCGTCTATCTAATCTGATTAACCTTGTCAAATGGTATTTACTAATAATAAATAATTTATTCTTCTTGTTCATCAACATGATGAATTTTGCTCGAGATCACAATAAAAGCAATGTCCATTACACACCGAACTATTCACATAGCTAATCCGATCATGGCTACTTTTTTGTTTTGATACCTAGATATTATTCTTATGAACTTGAAAGTAGGGGTGGTACGTTTATGTTAATTTAAAATTAACGTTAACTAAAAGCGTTAATATTAACGAATTAACGATTAACGCCGCTAATTGACTCGCATTAAATTAAAAGGTTCACCCCTACTTGAAAAGATAATAAATTACGAAAATCACATCTACAAATAAAAATCTCGATCGGATTTTATACGTATTTGATGAACAAAACATGACCTATTAATTTTATTGTAAGCTATTGTTCACATGAGTGACACTCAATCATATTTTTTCTTCGCATTCTCTCAGCAGCTAATAATCAATTGTGAAGCATTGAAAAGCCATGCGAATAAGATATATCCTTACTTTTATCAATCGAACTGCTCAACAATTATACTGACTACATCTAACACTCCATCAACATAATCATTACTTGTTTGATGCTAGCTGGTACGAATACAAAGTAGACCGAACAGAAGCCAAGTTGTGTTATTACAATAAAGCCATCAATAACAAATCTTAACAAGAAGAAAAAAAGATATTCATTCTTTTTTATGTGAAAATATTAAATTATATAAATAACTTTACTTTCCCAATTTTGCATATCGATGAACCCATTTCCAACGACATGTTGCCAATGTATATCGCATAATATCTCCAAAATCACATTTTTCTCGTGATGTGCTAGATAGAAAACGTAGGTTCAACTCGTATATTTTTTTTTTCTTCTAAACTTACATATATCGATAATGATCGTGACATCGAAGAAGTTGATGCATACAATAAAGTGTCATTGCACCCATAATCCAAAAAGCAATAGGCCCAAACTGAAACAATGTTGGATAAAAAAGAAGTAAATCAAGAACAAAAGAAAATCTAATTACAAGTATTCCAGCTTTCGATAGTGCATAAGGAAACGCGAGAATACCAGCGCCGATATTGCCTTTAATTAAATGCATTAAGGTTTCTAAATTTCTAGATAATTAAGAATAGAAAAGCGTTAAGATTCATAGGCTAAAGAAAACAGCAACGTGATAATTACGTTGTTTTATAATCAGTTTGATCTCCAATAATTGAAGAAACCAATGGTGCAATCTAAATAGTAGAAATTATTCTAAGTTTTCTCTCCAATAATGAAAGCTATTATTTTGATGGAATAGCAAAGCTAAGACTTTTTTACTACTAGAAAAGAAATCTTTCATACAGCTTCATTTTCGTTGTTTTCATCAACATGAGATATCATTGAATTTGTATCATCGTCGTTCTTAAAGAGAAGTGGTCGATCCGAATATTCGCCAACGGGTGTCGATGCTGGAATAATCGGTGATTCGGAGAAAACTTCCGATGGACTACGAACTAGTGCAGTTGTCATCGTAGTATCCGCTGTGTGTTCTAAAAGAAAAAGTTAAATTTTCTTTCAAATCAATAGAAAGTTAAAAATATAAAATTCTATTAGATATTAATAGAATATCACATCTTGTTTTCGCTCGTAAATAAACAAGAGGAAACAAACTAAACTAAGTTTTTTTGTTCCTATATAATGATGAATCACAGATTGTCTAAGACATAATTTGTTTATGAACAACTTGCCTTTAAATTATCGAATCAATTTTTGTTGTTTAAGATTCGAGTTAGTGGCGCACAGCGTTGATTGTACACTTGAGAAAACTCTATGGTCTCACTCATGTTAACGAATTTGATGAAAAACATAATCTGTAATTCATCGAAAAACTAACCAATAAAATTTTCTCACTAATCCTCCTGTCAAGCGCACATTTAACATTGATTGTAGCACTCTCACTCAATTGCACTAATGATTCTTTTTTTTTCTGTAAATGGTTGATGATGATGTTTATTGTTTTTTCTCCTACCTTTCCTTTAAAACGAGAGAAACAAAAGAAAATCCCCATCCTTATAATTATTCTTATTCTCTATTTACCTTTGATCTCACGCTATTATATAAACCATTCAAAGGTAAATATTTAGATTATTTCAATCATGCCTAAAAAACCTTTGGATGCTAATAAACCTCGTGGACCAGTTACAGCTTATGCTTTATTTGTTCGTACTTGTCGTGATGAATTACGTCGTAAATATCCGCAATTAGCAGTTGACTATAATGTTATTGCAAAGAAATGTTCTGAACGTTGGAAAGTTATGAGTGATAATGAAAAAAAACGTTTCAACGATACAGCCGATTCACAACGTAAACGATATAAAGAAGAAATGGCAACCTATTTACAAGAACAAGCAGTGAAGCAACAGCAACAACAGTCGGCAACATCTTCAATATTACTTCAAACTCCTTCAACGCAATATCTTGTCGAACCACAACAGCATACATTACTTATACCAACACAAACACAACAAACAACGGCAACAACAATTGTAACTGTACCAAAGAAACCAGCTAAAAAACGTGAAAGAAAACCTAAAGATCCACATGCACCTAAAAAACCGTTGTCTGCTTATTTTCTATTTTGTGCTGATGAACGTCCTAAGGTACATGGCTCACAAACAGGTAAATAATTATATTTAGCCATTAGGCAGAAGAAAGAAAAACTACTCTCAATAATTAGACATCATTGTATACGATCTATTAAAATTATTACGCAGTTTTATTCTCTAGGTAAAGATTAAATGTTGAGCTTTCAATCAAATAATCCTCTTAATAGTATTTCGATAAGAGGAATTATTTCCCATCGAATAGTAGATTTTTATTTTTTAAAATACTGTCGGAATCGTACGGATAAAATTATTAGACTGAAAATTGCCTTTCACAGGTCAATTTTTATTGGCTTGTATATTCCTGTCGTGTTAATTATAATATCTATACTTCCAATATAGGTGATGTTACATTTATAAATAAGTTCGAAAGAAAACATTTTTCCTCTGAGGGAGAGATAACAAGGAGAAGCATTTGTTTAATTATCATTTGTATGAATAATCTTAAAAGGTTTAAAAATAGCACTGTAACACGTGTTTCTTTTTAATACTCTACTACGAACGATCAATGATGAATAATATTTAAAAAAAGGCACTGCAGGCTATTTGTGAATTCATCATGAAACCCTAGAAGTTGAAATTTTGTTTTGATTGAATATTATCCTTACAGCTAATTATAGAATGTAAACAATATTTTGGAGTGAAAAAAGGAAAGATGAAAATGTTTCGATAAGTTAATATTGAAAATATATAATAAATTATGAATTAAACGAGCTACTACTCGGGAACCTTTTTATGAAAAACCAAAATATAGCTTTTTTTTATTAAGTAATTGTCATATACTGACACAACAATTTACTAGCGATTAATAATTGTTTTTGAAAATCAGTATATCGAACTCGAATTCTTTCTCTTTTTCTCGATCTAATTATTTCTTTGTTTAACAGATTGATGTGTATGAAAGTCTCTTCGCGATATTCCCTTCGGGTTAGAAGAATGAACTGCATGAGAAAAGTAAATAAACGATGAAGAAGAATGTTTGACATAAGCAAAAAAAGAATAAAATCTTTAATTGTCAATTAGAAAAGGGATACTGTTTGCAGCTCATATTCTTATTCTCTAGTAGGCTGAAATAAATAGAAATAATTAGTAATTTATTACCATTCTGTCAGATGTCTCAAGCGGTAATAACTTTATGAGTTGAATTCAGCGCATTTTACCACATTAATTAGAAAAATTAAACCAAAAATAGATGTCGAGCGAATATTGTTATTAAATAACTGTTCATAGACCGATGAAGATTATGCCTATAAATAATTATAATTGAAGTTGAAAGTAAAAATAATAAATAGAATATTAATATAGTTCTTTTTTATTTTTCTTTCCATAAAATATAGATGAAAAAAAAAGTGAGTCTATTCTTATTGATCTTAAATACAATATTTGCTACTATTTTAATAAAATAGGTATGTCTGTAAGCGATGTAGCACGAGAACTCGGCATACGATGGAAGAATGCGCCTGTTGAATTAAAAAATAAGTATGAAGTAGCAGCGTCAGAAAAGAAAAATGTCTATCAAGCAGAAATGGCTATTTACAAGCACCAAACATCAACGAACTCTTCACCTCCTGAGACTCCTCAAACTCCTTTGACACCTCATGATTTTCAACCACTTTATTCATCATCATCTATGCAACAGCAGCACTCACAATTGCAACATATACTTCAACAACAACATCAACAAAATTTTAATTCATATGATAATAGTGATACATCTCAACATCCAACTGAATTTGATATGATAACAGGGGGTCATGCAGTTAGTGAAAATGACGTGTAATTCTTCTAGATTCAATACAAATCTAGCTATTTATATATATTTTTTTGTTTGTTTGTTTGTACGTGATTACGAGTGTATTTATTTTTCATTCAGATATCTGTTCTGGTGCTTGTGCATATCTATAGACGCTCGAAAACGAAATAATAACACACGTCAGAATAGATGAGATTAAATGTATTTTTTTTGTCCGTTCTAGAAGTTATGAAAGATGTCGATGTCAACTAGTGAACAAGGAGATGATAATCAACAGCCATCCTATATTATTGCTAGTCCAACAGCAGCAATTAATAGTGCCAATGAAACATTAACATTATGTGATATTAAGCTTATTTGTGTTCCAAGAAGGAAGGTTGGTTGATTTTCATAATTTCTCTCTTTGCTAAATAAACTAATAGATGAGGTGAGTACTCACATTTCATTCATCGAAGAAAGATTTTTTTTTCAAGACGAGTGAGCTTCTCTTTAAAAAAATATTTTCAATACGAACCTCAATGATTTTGTCAAGATAATAATTGTTCCATGAATTTCTGAAATTTTAGTTTCAGTAAAACTCTTGAATAAGCTGAAAAATAAAATGAATGTTTCTGCAAAAAAATCATCTTTAAACCATGCATGAGATTTTGTTCTGATAGTCTGTGTTAGCTCATTTAGTGTAAACAGAAACAAAAAGTGCCTTTGAGTAGGTGAATAAAAACATTAAATTTTTTTTAATTTTGTCAACAGCTTGTAAAATCCGACGTAATATCATGTAGATATAATTGTTCAGTAATTAGAGCTAATACTGAAATATCATCAATAGTCTGTAATCTGATATTTACAAATGTTCTTTTTTTAGCGCGGTAAACGTCATGTTTACTTAACCTTTGTTGAAAGTTGTGATTTATCATCATCATCCAATGAACAACCATCTATAGAAATAATCGACAAAAAAACGACTTCTTCGATACCGTTAAACGAATGTATATCATTAGAATATTTTGATACGATTAAGAATGATTTTCAGTCATTTATTTACATGTATTTTGAAAATTACACCGTATCAATATATTTCTCTGACGAATTTGCGACAAAAAAAAACGTTATCATGAAACATCTTGACTGTATGAATAAGAAAAAAACTGAAAAACCAACCGAAATTAATAAGCAACAATCATCTCAAGAATTATCGTGTTTAACAACAACTGAACAAATTGCACATACATTTGATATTAAATTAATTCCACACGGAACAATTATAGGCCAAAAGCATGTTTTGATTGGTCGAGCTCGTATTTATTTTACAACAACTGATCTTTACATAGCCTCTATTGATTGTAATCAAGCCGATTTAAAAACCACTATTACAAATCAATGTCCATCAAAAGACAAAACTATTTTATGCATACCTTATTTTACGATAAAACATTATGGAAACCGGTCAAATATATTTCTGATTGAATTAGGAAAGTCAAATTATGGTAATGGTGAAATACATATGAAATGTCTATCGTCATCGTTAGCAAGTACAATACATTTATTAGTTAGTCCAGTGATCGAAGAACGACCATTGATACTGTCGTCAGCATTTCAAAATCAATTATTGACAAACAAACGCATGGAAAAATCAAAAAATATTCATCCACCTATACAACTCAATCATGATGCCACAAATCAGATGATAATTGATCCATCGCTATCGTCTTTACAAAGACACTCAATAGAATGCATAGCAGAAAACTCAACAACACCTACCGCAACAAAGTCACGTTCAGCATTCGGATGGGTTCGTAAATTAGTTAAAAATAAAACAAATTTACAACGATCTCATACCTTCAATACAAATCAAAGTCATTTAAGTTCACAATCAAAAGTTTTATCGTCATCCATCAATAAATTTTTTGAATTTAATATCGAAGAAAAACAGATACCTACCGCACAACATCAGAACGCTTTATCAAAATCTCAAAGTTTAACTAATTCATCTAAAATACTCAACAATAAAAGTAATCGAAATGCTCTGCTGTTACCACAGCCTAAACTAGAAACAACTATTGGAACATACATTGATATGGGTCCAACTGTTCATAAAACTGATCAAAATCAACTAGAAGAAATTCACGAAGAAAAAATAACAAAAGAAACCGCATCAACTGTTGATATGGGTGTTAATAGTGCGTAAAAACATTTTCTCAAAAGACAAAAAAATAAATCTCATTGTGGAATATTTTCTATTTAGCTACAATCAGTCTGCCGCCTCATGTTCGTTCGGCTATAATTGTTGGAAGTTCTGTTCATTTAATTGCTGAAGGTAGTAACAAAAGCATTTATCAATGATTTGATCATATGACTTTTATGTTATAGAAAGAGCTGTTTACCCTATTGGCCAACGTTCTTTTACTTCTCCTGCTAGTGTCTTGCAACCCTTCAAAGCGCAATTAAATGGACAAACAAATAGTAATAATTGTTATCTTTTTTTCAAATCAAAAAAACTAACCGGATAGAAGATGACTGGAAAATAGAATTAGAGAATGTTAAAGTTCAACTAGAAAATAATTCATTATTTTTTTTAGTGACGGAAACTAATACGGAATCCTGTATTACAAATAATTCAAGGTATTTTACTCGTTTCTATAACGTTTCTTGTTTTTTTCTCTTCATCTCAATGAATTATTTCTTATAGTTCTATTCATCAACCAACATCTACTTCCAATTCTCAGCAGTCATTATTTCTTTCTTATGGTATCATAACTTTAAATAAATTCCCATTATCATCTGATAAAATCGAACGTCCATCGAGTCCATTATCCGATGGTTCGAATATCGATCGTCGACTTAATTCTGATCTTAGTCTGATGTCTGTATCTCATCAACGGCAAGCATCTAATATTTATTCCAATGATAAAATATTATCTTCATCAAATTCACGTATATTTCGTACATTATCTCTTTCAACAAATAATATCGGTGATAATACATCCGGTCAAATATGCACATCACATAGTAGTATTATAGTTTTTGATGAAAATTTAAACGATCAAACGTTAAATTATTTACTTGGTGCACCACCCATACCATCGATTGAAGATAAAATTTCAACAAATCTATCTCGAGTTTCATCAATAAATTTACAAGGATCAATGTCACGTTCACATTTATCGAATATAAACGAAGAAAAACTTCCATCAAATGATTCGTATGCTTTCATTGAACCATCAATTTTAAATAATTCTCCTCTACCTAATATAATAACTACTCGAACTAAACCAACATTATCTCCTGAAAAACCAATGAATTACGCTGATGTTCTTTTACCATCATCATCAGTACTGTTCGCTAATAATGATGATGAACAACAACAAGAATCAAATATAGTTGATCAACATAGTGACCAATATAATAATTTGTTAGACGAAAAAGTTGAACGATCATCAACTATACTCTATACAGATATTGATTTTCAACAAACCGAACGTCGTGATCGTATTGCTCAATTAGCAGCCATATCCGAAAACAAAGATAAAACACCACCATTTATTTTATGAATCTTATTATTATTATTATTTTTATTCAAGTTAATTTAATGTATTTTTCTTTTTGTTCGTTCGTCTTTTTTTTTATTACTCGTTTAATGTATTGCAGTCAAGTTTGTAAATAAAATAAAAGACATTTTTTGTAATGTCAATGGTGACATACAACCACACGTACATATATACATACCTACTACATACATTTACCGACAACCGTTGTTTTACACAAGAAACAGAATCATAAAGTAATTTCATTTAAAACAGTAAAATAATAGCAACGCAAGCAAGAAGACAATGTAAGTAGAAACACGGATGGGTATATAGTAACTATATTTTACGATAGACATATAAGATCATTTCTATGAAATCAAATTTGTAGTTTTGACCATTTTTTGCTTTTTTCAAAACACTTCTATACATCAGTTTTCTAAACGATACATAAAATATATAAAAATTTCTAGAACTTATCGACACAAGCAACAAGATTTTGCTAGAGAATAGGTATGAATATTTTTCTGAATAAACTACGATAGAATGTCAAATTTCGTAAATCAGAAGAAATGCAAATAGAGATTCTTCGACCTACATGCTCTGATATTAGACTTGAAAATACCCTAATATTTCTATTGAACTGTTTTTGTGTTGTGACTTGTAGAAAATATTTCATAACATAAAGAATGGAAAAACAATTTGATGGTTAAATGAGCGTTAGAAGAAAAAAATTTAAAAACTTCAATCGTGCATTTGCTGCTTTCCGATTTTATTTATGGAAAAAAAAAATTTCCAATAATAATAGTTTAGTTGTCTATGAGGTTATTCGTGCAATTAATGTATATTTTATTTTTTCTGAGATTTGAAGTTCTAGAATGCATTTTCTCAAACTTCAAATTCAATACGGAGGCGATGTAAGCGAATTGATCTTATCGACCAATTCAAGTGACCCAACCGTTCAAGAACTGCAACAACACATTGAAAAACAATTGAATATTCCAGCAGAAGTACAACGTATTATGTTCAAAGGACAAAATTTACATGAAAAACCCGAAGGAAAATTACGGCGATATGGCATCACAAACGCAAGTCTCATTCGAGTTGTGGGTCGCAAACAGCCCATACGACGATAATTGACAAGTCTTTTTTTCTTCTCTAAAAGATACGATGTGCCTGAATCATTCTATAATTTATAAATAAACGACCTTGAATAATAAAAACAAATAGAAATTAATTTTACTAAATAAAATGATTAAATAAATCGAATTGTTTGTTATTTTTCAAAGAAAAGCATCGCAGTAATGTCAATCAATAGTGTTCTATATGTAAATTACGATTTCATTATTTTCGTACATGACAATGACGGAAAGCGTACTCCGAGTTAGATGTTGAAATGTCCTCTACAATAATGTTTATTAATGAAAGGTACAAATTCCGTTGCTATTCCTACTTAAAATGTTAGTAGTTCGACTGCTTATGTTTTTCTTTTTTTTTAAATACATAGCTACATGAAAACAGTGTTTTTTTTTCATCATATAATTTTAAAATATTATATTTCAGAATGAAAAGTGAACTCAATTATTTGATTAGCAAATATATTTTGAAAGAAATCCGATCCTGCAGAACAGACATTATGTTTAATATTGTCACATTCGATATTCTCATTCAATAGCCAATAGAAGGTGAACACTTAAAAATTGTGAAAGCTTTTCTTTTTGTTATCTATATCCATCATATACTGTTTGTAGGTTTCTACATATCTGTCTCGATTTAATTGATTTACTTGTGGAATGTATTTTTTAAAGATTTCTCTAAATGAGAAACGCATCGCATAATTATCAATGCAGCAACTCTGTTCAATGGCAGAAAAAATGAATACAAAATTCTAATTCCGATTAGCCTAAGGATGATGTCTATCAAATGTTTTTTTTTGCATTGTGTGTCGTAGAAATCATTTTCTACTATATTGACCGGAGAAACTACAAGTTCTGGAAAGCAATTCAAAAGGTTAATCGAGCGATAGAAGAAAGAAATTTCAATATCGAGAATACTGCAAGTTAAAATTTAATTGATACAAGAAAAATAATTTTCATTAGAAATTCAATTGTATAGGAACGATAGAATTTATTGACATGCAAATATATTTTTATGATTTTGAACTGTTCGACACATTTTATTCTATTTTTTTCTACGATTTTACAATTCAAAAAAATGCATTTTCTTAAACTTCAAGTTCAATGTGGTGGTGACATAAATGAATTGATTTTACCGACTAAATCAAGCGATCCATCAGTTGAAGAACTACAACAATACATTGAACAGCAATTAAATATTCCAATACATAAACAGCATATTATATTCAAAGGACAAAATTTACATCAAAAGCCCGATGAAAAATTACGACAATATGGTATAACAAATGCAAGTCTTATTCGAGTTGTTGGTTGCAAACAACTTTTACATAGGCAAAGTTGACTTTGAAAAATAAAAGATACGATATCGGGCTCATTTATTAGCATAGAAATATGATGTATTTTTTTTTATTACTGATTGTACTTTTCTTTATGAATAAAATCTAACTTAAATAGTCGATTTTTATTATCTACAACAAAGATGTACATGACATCGTAGAAATTACTTTATTCCATCAAAATGTAAAATTACCCTATCCTATATTTAATTAGAATATAAAATTATAATGTGCTTCAAAACTTTTCGTCTCTTCAAATCTCATCTATATATTTTTTTCTGTCTTTAAATCTTTATGTAAAGTCACATGCTATTATTCACATTATTTACTGGATATTTTTAAAATAGATAAACTTCTGTTGTTTTTTCTCCTTGTGCAATATTCACAAGTGTTCTAAAATTAGCGATAAAAGACAAATTTGATTCGTTTAATTGTGCAAATAAGGTAGCTAGATAAATTTAGTTGTCGTCTATTTCATTTGATTCGTTTCTACCACATCGTGCATACACTTAGACCATGTACCGGTATCTTACCATTTTGATAGCAAGTTTTGTGCTATTCGGAATTAGTTGTACTTGGGCAGCAAATTGGGCAGTACTTGTTGCTGGTTCTAATGGTTGGTATAACTATCGACATCAAGCTGATGTTTGTCATGCATATCAAATTTTACATAAAAATGGTATTCCGGATTCAAATATTGTTGTTATGATGTATGATGATTTAGCTAAAAATGTCGAGTAAGTAGAAGAAAATATTTTTCGGGAGAATAATTTTATTTTTGATTTCAAGAAATCCAACCAAAGGTATTATTATCAATCATCCAGATGGAACTGATGTTTATCATGGTGTGCCACATGATTATACTCATCTGGTAGGATAAATATATGATTGATTTCTATTATGTGTTTTTTTTGTTCGAATAGGAAGTAACACCAAAAAACTTTATGCATGTTCTCCTTGGAGAAAAAGCTGCCTTGCAAGGTGTTGGTAGTGGTAAAGTCTTACAAAGGTAATTATAGACTTCTTCAATAAGTTAATTAATCAAAACACCATAGACTGTTAAGTGAAAAAACAGTTGGTAACGTAGGAAGATTGGTTCTCTAGACTAGAGATATGGAAAATCAGGCCCACTGCTGCCGAGAGGAAGAAAGTGAGATTTTCGTACTCTGCAATTCTAACTTTGAGAATATCAAACAAAGAAATTCTGTGACATTTCTTTCTAAATCGATACAAACAATAGAATAGCTCTTATAATATGTTTTAGCTAATTGTATAATACCGTATTTATCATTTCAGTGGTCCCGATGATAATGTTTTCATCTATTTTACTGATCATGGTGCAGTTGGTACGATGAATTGTTCTCTTAGAGAAACTCTTGAACAATATTGTTTTCTTCTCTATAGGTTTGGTTGCTTTTCCACATGGTGTTGTAGGTATTCTTAAGTTTTTAACAAAAATAAACTTACATTTTATATTTCAAGCTTCATGCTAAAGAATTGAATGAAACAATAACTAAAATGTACAATGAAAAGAAATACAAACAAGTAAGTAGAAGTTATTATTTCAAGTCGTTTTGTTATTCTGTAAATAAGTTTCTTTTCATTAAAGATGGCTATTTATATTGAAGCATGTGAATCTGGTTCCATGCTTGAAGGTCTTCTACCAGACAATATCAATATTTATGCAACAACTGCATCGAATGCAGAAGAATCATCGTACGCTTGTTATTATGATGAAAAACGACAGACTTATTTAGGCGATGTTTATTCCGTTGTTTGGATGGAAGATTCCGATGCTGAAAAAATTGATCAAGAAACCTTATATCAACAATTTTTAGTTACGCAAAAATATACGAATACAAGTCATGTTATGCAATATGGTGATCTTGTAAGACATTGGTAATTGTCAAGAATAAAATCATATGATTTTTCTTTTCTAGACTTTAGGTCAAACACATAATGTTAGTGAATTTCAAGGTGCAACACAACAGATCTATAAGCACCATCGTAATTTACTTAAGAAACATCGTAATACTTTACTTAGAGTATGATCATTAACGATTTTCATTGAAAAGAGTCGTCTACTATCGATCTTTATCTTTTTTAGCGTGATGCTGTTCCAACAGAAGATGTTCGTATTGCAATTGTTAGCCGTCGTTTAGCTGCTGCAGAAGATAATTCAGCTAAAAAACTAAAATTAGAACGTGAACTTGCTCAATTATACAATGTAAGTCTTAGTAATTTATTGGAGAAGAATATTTCTGTACGATTTATTTTCATTTAGGATCGATCGATAATAACATCTCGTATTGAACAAATTGCCTCGAAAGCTTTACTCATCAATCGTGGTGGTTATTTAGAAATTGTTACAGAAAAACGTATGAAATTAACAAAATATGATTGTTATCAATCGGTAACAGAACATATTCATGAGAAATGTTTTGATCTTCAAGTATGTTATTCGAGTAAACTTCTTCATTGTGAATGAATTATTTCATTTTTAGAATGAATTTGTTCTTAATAAACTTTACATTATGGCAAATCTATGTGAAATAGGTCTTCGTGATTTTACTATGAAACAGGCTGTTGATGAAACCTGCAATGAACGACTCCATTTTGACTATTAAAACTCGTTCGACAAAGATCATAACAGAAAAACATTTGACTGCCTATGATTTTTACTCTTGTTCTTTTTTTTATTTTATTTTAATTCTTTTTTTTTCTTTTTTCTCTAAATACATACATTAAAACATGTCTACATAAACAGAGCAATAACGACGTTTTCTTTTTAGCATTATTTTTCTAACTTTTAACGTCTTGTCGGGGGGCACGTATGCGTGAAATGGAAAACGAACTTGATAATCGATTTCATTTTAATCAGAAAAATTATTTTCTTCGTTTTCAATCGCACGAAACTGAAAGTTCAAATTCGGCAATTTATTATATCAATAAACATGTTCGTCATGCGTTAGAATATTTTGTGGATGATCTCAAGCTTGATCAAAATAAAACTATCGACCGTTTTCTTGATGAACAAACTGTAAATGAGATATTTATATTTATTGCACAATTATTATTATGTGATGATGATCGGTTAGTGAAAAAAAAAGTTGCTTCTCCAAAAAACAGAATATATGTTTTTTCTTCTAAATTTTAGTATTTGCGGTAACTGCGCCTTTATAATAGGAAGCACTGTTGAAACAGAGAAAGGTTTAAAACAATTTTTATCCATATTCACTGACGATAGCACGATAGAAACAGTTGATATTTTACAATTATTATTTCAAATGCTGACACATGCGGATCCCGACTGTGTACTCAATGCGACCGGGACACTCGGTACTATAGTATGTAGGTTCCGCACTCTAGACTTGTGATGGTTTTTCATCTTCATATCGGATACTGTCATAAGTTATTTTATTTGTTCATTCTCGGTTCAATCTTGATTGAAGAATAACAGGTTTTTCGGTTTTTTAGTCTGGATCGAAACAAGGACGTGATTTATTACTAAAACACGTTTCTGTTAGTGAGATGATTTTAAACATATCAGTATTATTAAATTCAACCAACCCATGGATTGCTAGTAATGCAGCATTAGTACTAGCAAGGTGAGTAGTAACAGAAATGTTTTTTTTTATCAGAATATTTCTATTCGATTTTCTATGTTTTCAGACTCACTGTAGAAGAAGTTGGCTGTCAAATAATCTTAACACATAGTAGACATCATGAAATCTTAAATCAACTTTTAGCTGCACTTGATGTTAATGATCCTAGTCGTTCAACTAATATTGCCTTTGCTATAGCGCGTTTAATTGAAGGAGAAATTGGCAAGAAAATATTAATTAATGATTGTGGACAAAATAAATTTGTATGTAAAATTTTTTCAATGGAAATTTTATCTTTTTCTTCTTCTCAAGTTTGAAGCATTATTAATTATGCTTAAAATCAACGAAGATAAAGGTATTAATAAAAATGCCTGTTATGCATTAAGTTGTTTATGTACAAGTCGATATGGTTATCAATTATGTATTGAATCCATAACATTATTCTATAAAATACTTGTTGCTATTGAAACAATACTTTTATCAATCGAACATGAAGCTGTTTGGTTCGCGTTAATGTAATTGAAAATAGTTTGAATTTTTATTTTGTTTAAATTCTTATTTATCTATTCAGGTGTCTGACAACAATTGCTAAGCATGATGGAGCATATGAACATTTATGTAATTCAAAACAATTAACAGAAATAATAAAACAAGTCCAAGAAACATGGATTGAATTTAAAGATATTCAAGATGAATCAAAGTTACTTTGGTTTATGCTACATAAAAATATCAAACCTAATCGACCGACAATCGATGGTTCAAAATGTGAATTTTTGTATGCCAACTTCTATGATTTGTTTTTGATTTAGAGTGTCGAGATACTTCGGTCGATTTTTCTTGGGATCCGTGTTTGTTTACTGAAGATGACACGGATCTACAATATCGTGTTATATTAGGTACAAGTTATGTTAAATTTTTTTCTCAATATTTCAATTGAATTATTTAAGATGATGTTCCTTTTACAATAACAAATAAAACAAATTATTCTATCAATGATTTAAAACCAAACTCAAATTATAATGTAAAAATTCAATTTATAACATCGCAAGGAGAAAGTATTCCTAGCGATGCAACACCATTTCATACGGACGATGAATGTAAGTTACATGGTCTGCTATCTGTAGATCTAAGGGAAATCTAGAAGCTATATTGAATAGCGACATAGCACAATTTTCTATTGAAGTATTATGGCAATGATTGAGAAGTTAAAGGATATTAGATGTATGGCTTCGATTGATTGGAAATAGAAGACTTTTCTCGTGCATTATGACATAGTTAAATCTTGAAATATGCATAAAATAACTTTCTATATTTATGGCTTCTACTACATAGAAAAACAAACAATGACATATAAGACTTCTAAGTATATGACTTAGATTGATAGTAATTGCGACGTTGAATTGAGATTACACATAATGAATCATTTTAGTACCACGACCGGTGATTAACCTTCATGCTGTTCGTATCACAACATCCGCACTTCGTGTAGTTTGGGAACCGCCTGATTTTACTGCGTGCACCACATTCAAAGGTTATCAAATATACTTGAGTAAGAACAATGTCGTCATTTTGTTTTTTTTTCAGAATATTCTATTATAACCAAGAAAATCTATTTAGATGAATTTGAATATGAATTTACAAACGAATGTGAAACAACAATGAATTCATTGACAGCTAATACAACTTATCAAATTACTGTATGTCCTGTCAGTGTCAAAGGAAAAGGAGAAACAACTTCAATCAATGTAAAAACTGAATCTGCCGGTATTATTATTAAAATTATTTCAATAAGATTTACAATGAATATTTTTCTATTTTAGGTGATTGTCTTCCAGCACCACCCACATTTTCAGTAATTGGTCGACGTGAATTACATATAAAATGGCAACCGCCAGAAGTTATTTCTGGTCGATTCTCTCGGTACGAACTTCTTTGTAATGGTCGATGTATTTATTCTGGAACCGATCAAGAATATCATGCATCAAAGCTTAAATGTGATACAGAATATATAATAGAAGTGTGTGTAATTACAAACGATGGTCGTTTTCGTAGTCGACCAGTCAAAGCTCGAACATTAAGAGATGAATGTTAGTAAAGCCTTTTTTCGCGTCTTCTTTGTATAAAGAAAAAGTAATTGTATTTTCTGTTTCTTATTACGTCTAGTTCAAAATACGATTCGTCATTCACTTTATGAACGACCCACACACGTTCCAGTTAAATTTAAGCGTGCCGATACGATTAATGCTCGAAAAGTGTCACCAATTATGGAGCGACGTGCAGCAAAAGAAAGTAAATTTTTGTTTTATCATAAATTTATTTTCATTATCCCTATTTCATCTAGTGCCTGTCATTAATCAAAACGTACAAATTACGACAATTCGTTCCATGCAATTAAAAGTAAAATCGAAATGTCTTTTTTTTCTCTTCATTTTACTCCATTTTTCTTTTTAGGCAGAAGTTCCATCCTACAGCCGAGCATTGCCCGGTTTATTTCGAAATGCACCATTACGTCCTATACGAGCTTATCCTCGATCTAAAACAGATCTAGCTTTACAGCCGATATCAGCAACTGTAATTATTCCTACGTTGAGTATTAATCATCAAGCACATATCACTCATGCAACACGATCAAGAGCCTTTCGATATCCAATATTAACAAAATCCTATGAACGTTCCTCATCAATTTCATTAACTGATTCAAATTATGCTTTTCGACGATATAGTTAATTTTTTGTTTTATAATGAAAGAAAAAAATATTTATCGATTTTTTCCGCCTGTGATTTGATATAATAAAACATATCTAAATGGGACGAAAATTAGTAAAACTTGTTGTTTCCTAGAAAAACAATGTTTGTGATTTAAATTAGTTAGTTAATAGTATTTATTCTATTATTTTTCGTCTCAATATACAATAGTCAAAATATGAGCATTGCATGCTCAATGTCATTGAATTGAGGTTAAGTGATTAAATGAAGTTTTTGTGTTTTGATGATGTTGCTTTGTTATGGACGAAAATATGGGTATCTTTCAATTTTCGATGAATCAGGAAATGTATAACTAAAAATTCAGAGGAATATATTTTTGTCAATATTTTTTCCTACGCTCTTATACCTTTTACTATATTCAGTAGGAGCCGGTTCAGATATAAGATAAGATAATGGTCGTCCGAGTGAAGTATAATCAGCTTGTGCAACAGCCAAAGATGGAGAACGTGACAGTTCTTTCAGTTTTGCATAACGATGAGCAGTTTCTGTACCACCTAGTAAAATTATTTTTAAAAAACAAATAGCAATTATTCATTTCCATAAGAAAATTTTCTGAACCTGGATAGTTTTGATTGATTCCTGCTTTAATCAAATGTGTATTGTAATCAGAAGCATAGATAAATGATCGTGATTTTATTGGTTTTCTTGTATTAAATGGTCCAATGTCTATGAAGAAATCGGCAGATGAGAGTAGAATTTAATGTTTTGATAAATCAACCTGCCGGTCGTGGTGTTCCTATAGGTTCCGAAAATTGTTGTTTTTCAATGGATGATTGTTGATAAAGGTTTGGCGATGAACCATTATCTATAATGAATAGTGAAATATTTGTTTTTCGAAACAAATACACAGTTTTAATTACGTTGAAAAGAATAAGCCCAATCTTTCCAATCAGGTGTTGTTGTTTCAGGTAGTTTTCGATCAGCCCATATTTTATGAATATCTATTGGTTGTTTGGCATAACGAGTTAAATTATTTCGATAACCAACATAACGATCAGTTACACCGAGATGATGAGCTATGTTATCTAATCGAGAATAAGAACCTGATGCATGAGGAGAAAGACTCTAGGAAAATGAATCTTTCGTAAAGAAAAGAAAAGAAATAAGACAAGAAAAAGTTTTACGTGAAGATATTCAAGTAATGAATCATCTAGAAAGAATAGATTTGATTGAAAAATAATGATTAAGATAAAAATGAACTAAGCTTACATGCCCAATTGTGTATTTCACGTATTTGATTATGTTCTTTCTTTTTAAGCGCAACCGAATGAAGTTTAACGTTGAGTTGTTGAGCAAGTTCGCTTCCTTTTGAGACTAATTCTTTGATATCTATATTAGAAATAAGATTTATACGAAATAAGTTAATTTTATTTACTTGTTTCATTAAATTTCATTTCATCGGAGTTAAATTGTTTCGCCAAACTTTTCGATGCACGTTGAAATTCATAATCAAGTTTAATATTATCCAATGCATTATTGATAAGTTTTATATGATTAATTATTTCTGATGTTGTATAATGACAATCAGATGTTAATATTTGTGTGAAATTTGATTGAAGGTTTTTTATATCTTTGTCTAAGAAAGACATGCTGTCGTGTACTCGAGAAAAAAACCTAATGAAAACAAAATGTTACGAGTGTCATTCACTTTTCTTTTATTATTACTTAGCAACATAGTTTTTATACATATAGAAAAATTCGCAAACAGATAAAATTATTTTTTATGTTCTGTCAATGGAATTATTTAGAAAGCAATATATCTCATGTTGTTTAATGTCATTGTTTGGTCAATTCTTCTATTTCAAGGTTTTCTTGTCAGGTTTAATCATCTGACAATTGCTTTTGCAAATATATCACCATCGAAAATGACAAGTTAGATTCGAGTAGATTTTGTGTTTTTCACATAAGTAAGATTTCAACTGTATGAAATTCGGTCCGATGCTTGGATGATGATTGCTTCCAGAAAAAGTGAAATTTCAAGGTCGCTCTACGTAGTCGCTATTATAATGGGGGTTAGGAGTTCTTTTAGAAACTGTTAAACATATTGTACTTTCAAATAACCATTAAGTAGTTATCGTGAAAATTGATCACTAAGTGAACTTTCTCCATGTGTACTTGTATTAAAGAAGAGATTTCTTTTGAAGATTTTTAAAAATTTTCCATTATAGGATTTATCGCGTTATACTTACAATGATTTGTCAAGGCTAACTCAAAAAACAAAATAAAGAATTATTTGGAGATACAACTAATCTATACTACAATAGATCAAAAACCGTTTCGCTAGATGAATTAACGTTCTTCTGGAGTTCATATTTTTTTTATTCTTAAAGAAAGATTTCGATTGAATTATTAATTATAACTATGGTTCAGTATCAATTCATTTTTTTCCAGCTGAAATTCGTTGATAGTGTCATTTCGAAGATTTAAAAACTCATCGTTTGATTTCGCTCTTAATATTTTCTGATTTTGCATTTGTACGATCCATGAGTCCCGACATTATTGATGAGAAAGGTATGTTTCGCGAAAATAAAAGAGAGAAGAGCGGAGTTTGACAAAAAAATTGACAATAAATGAATACGAGCAACGAACTTTAAGATTTATTACAAGTCCAAATTGTCCCTATCGCTTTCATTCTTCAAAGAATAAAATAGAACCAGCTATATTCAAACATATCACTACGAAAACGCTATTCGTGCCTATGAACAGATTTTTGACAAACAATATTGATTCCTCAGAAGTAAAACAGATGTATTTGAAGCTATTTACATATGAGTATAAAGAGAATGGGGTCTCAATATTTCATTTTAATTATTTTGAAGTTCAAACAAAAGAAAATTTTCTTTTAAATTCAGGTTTCGGAGCCATCTTTGCCAACGCACAGGACATAGTGTTAAAAGTTTAAAAAAAATAAAACTCAAATTTGAACGAATTTTTTTCTAACTTTTGCATTGTGGAGATCATGGAGCCAAAACATGACCACTAAAACTGTGTATACCAAGTGTGTCGATATTGATGGCACCCTTGGATGATTCTCCTTCATCCTCTTTCTATTCTCCTTCCATTGTTCTAATATAACTCTCCTATTTCTCTCCTATAAATACGTGTATTATGTATGCAGTTGTTACACTCTGGATATGTGAACAAGTAAATAAATATAGCCGAGAGTGGCGGTAAGCTACTCCACCTCTATCCAATTTGCCACTATGTATCAATCCAAACAGGGTCCCATATTTATCGTTACATCAAGTATAAACAAAATTAAACACTCGCGTCGGACTTCATGATATTGATATAGTACCGTGTCATTTTTTCTTTCGGTAATGGGGTGGAATGTGGATTTCCGTACCATGGAGCATGTTTTACTTTCGTTATATCGGTCATGATTACAATTATTGCCCTTTGATAAATTACAAGAGTCTGGGCAAACCTATGACCGCTCAATTCTTTTCATTAGCTACCTAAGTGTCACTAGCCTCTTATGCTTCGAGTAATTTTAGCAGACTTTGTTGCTCCTCACGATACTATACAAGTACCTATTACTTAATGCCTCCAATATACGAGCCACTGTTACCATTTCATCGCTCACATCTAGCCTTGTTTGCTTCCGTGTGCTTTCCAGCAGACTGAACTCATTATTTCGCTCGTAAACAAAACTTCTTGGGTGTGCATTTTAAGTGCCCCCCCCCTCAAATCTGAGTTGTCACTTAGAATCGTCTGTTTGAGCTGAAATTTTCAGGCATGACTGGTCTTCATTAGAAACAGTGTTGATAAAGATTTCAGCTCGATAAATTGAACTGAACCGAAAATATGGCTTATTTGCGTACGAATTATGGCCGCCAGGAGAATCCCTAAGGCTCTGGCAGTAGGAGAGCTATAAAAGTCGCGCTTGTTTTAAATTAAACCCAGCACCAATACGCAACTTTTGCCAGAACAGAATTTTAAAATTTGCTTTAGTTCGTATTTTACAAGCATTTTACTTGGATAGGGGTCGAAATTTGACTCAGAATGGTCGCCTGCTGGTATAGAATCCGACTTTTCTCAGTTCAGGAATATAAATATAAAAAATCTGATCGGACAAGATTTTACTTACACTTGAAGCTTCAAAGTACAAAAAATGACCTTAATATCTTAAATTGCTTGAAACTAGTTGCATTTTTTCTGACAAAAAAAATCTTGTTTTGAGAAGAACGACAAATAAGTTTAAGAATCATTTTTTATTGTTTAAACTTGAAAAAAATTCCAAAGAAGATCTATTTGTTATATTTTTACACTGAACCTTTTCGATGATGTTATCAATGATATCAACTCGTTCCATCTATAAACGATCTTTATTATTAGCTCTATTCTTTCAACTGACACACCTATACTTATGAAAAATGAGAGTTTTTAACCTAATAAACATAGCTAACATTGCTTTTAACCCTTTCAATTGAATTAAATCGATAGAACTATCATTTCTGCACATATTCATTGTATTTTTTCTTTCGTAAACTGATTTCTTTAATTACAAGACAGTGATCTATGACGCGACGTTAAAAGATCGTCGTCTGGCCAAGAACTGCCACTTTTTTTATTTCAGAGAACATTTTTATGGAAACCAAACTTCATATTCGTGATCAGCGTACTGAGTAAGCTATGTCTAGATCAAACTCCGGGAAAGAAGGAAAAACAAATTGTTTTCGGGAGGGTGACCAAAGCACAATGATTTTCCAAAAAAAAGTACACTATTTTGTTCAGAATTTTATACTGATTCCAACCATGTAATTATTTCTCTCAGAAAATAGTTCGGTCCAAAAATGACCTTAGGGGCACTTGTCTTTTCTTGAAAAACGACAGTACAGCTTAGTATTTTTCGATAAATCCCTTCAAATTGAACTTTTAAAAAAGAACCTATATATATTCTGAAAGAGGAGACTTTGAAGCATATACCCATGATAAAAGCTCAAAGTTTAATCTTTTCGAAAAAATCTACTGTTTTAAGGGGGCCCCTTAAGACATGTGTGTGATTTATTTACATCAAATCCACCCAAATGCCTCAGCTTTTCTGGGTATCATTCAACACATGTGTAATGAGTCAGTGACATTTAATCCATCGAACTTTCACGACTGTTCAAGATGATACTCAAGAGGAATAAAATTTTGACAGCAACTCTTCGCTTAGGCAATAAGATATATATTCACTGCTACTTAGTCTACAAAAAATGCAAAGAAAATGTACAATGAAATATTTCACGACTGTTACTGTAAATACATGAGGGAAGCCCATAGTGCAATTTAGAAAAAAAACGTCAAGTCGACGACACAACACGAACTAAAACGTTTTTTCGTATGCCAATTTATTTCTTCTTTAATAGTACTAAAACGTTGCAGCAATAAAATTTCAAAGTCTTCCGTTCCCTAGCAGTCAACTGAAAATGTTTGTCACAATACAACAATTTACTTTATTAAATGATTCGTAAAACAAATACTGCAGCACCAATATAAGAAGAAGAAAAACAATCTTTTCTAATCACAAAACAAAAGTGTTCGATCGAAGATCTCTACCTTCTATAACTGTACAAAAAATAGAAAGAAGAAACATACGAACAACACAGACGATAACCGACCTCT